CCCCAAAACCCCAAAACCCCAAAACCCCAGAACATCAGCTGAGCTTGAGGGATTTAAATGTGAAGATAGGTGGGTTTTATAATAATTAATATGAAGTTTCCAAGATGAGGAAGTAGATCTTGCCAAGAAGAGTCTCAGCATTATTTGATTGGCAAGAAGATTTATGTATGTTATGCTCATAAGGCTACAAAATATTCTGCTGATGACTCTATTCAGCTGGTCCCTCCAGGTCCAACTAAGTTACTACTAAAGGTGATAGATCAATGTAGGAAGGAGTTACTAGTATCTCCACAAAGCCATGGATATCTTGCTCCTGAGAGTGAATACAATGGATTCGACTCCACCATCAAAGAGGCAATTAGCCATATTATGTCAAGCCTCAATGATGCCATTAGCACCAATCAATTCTTCAAGCTCGTAGCCTTGTTGCAAGAAGCCAAAAATCTTGAAGACTTCGTCATGAAAGACCAATTGTTCATTAAGCACTCTGTAGTCAAGAGCTGGAAAAAAGCATTGGCAGTTATCGAAGGTACTACTGAAAAGAGTGCAGCTCTCGTTGCTAAAGAACTCAGAGAAGAGTATGACAGATTGCTTGAAAGAACTGCTAGTAAGCTCAAGCAACAAAGGGACCGTATCCTAGAAGAAATAGGGAGGTAAGTACAATATATTTCTATTCTCAAAGAAAAATCTAGAACTGAGACGGAGCTTTCTATAAAAAAGACAAAGATCAAAGAACTGAAGGATGAATTTAAAGAACAGGAGGAATCGAATAGGCAAGATATGAAGGAACAAAAAGAGGGATATGAAGAGAAGATAAGATATCTCATAAGCATCCAAGATGAGATAGAACAAAGCAAGATGATACTAATTGATGAAGCAAAGGAAAAGGATTTAAAAATATCTGAGCTTAAAAAGGATATTGAAAGTAAAAATGAAGAGCTCGAAGAGTCTCATGAAAACATCAAGCAATTAAATCAAAAAGTGGAGACTAGCGTTGACCAAGAAAGGGTCCTTAGAGAAAGGATTAAGGAACTTGTAGCTGGGTTTATAGTAGAGAAGAAGAGAATTGGAGAAGAGAGGGATGGGGAGATGCAGAAGTTGAGGAATTATTATGAGGTTAAGAGTAAGGAGAGTTGTGAGGAAAGTGATAGAGAGCAGCAGGAGAAATTGGTAGGTTTTGGTGATATGTATAAGGAAAAGAATGATATAATTGAGGAATTGGAGAAGAAGGTTTTGAATATTGCTAAAGAGCGAGATAAGGAAAGAGCTGAGCACCAAACACTGAAGCAAGCTCATGCTGATCTTCAAAAGGAGAAACAAAGAATCCTCCAAAGACACTCTGAAGAGCAAATAAATATTTAGAGAAGAAATCAGAAGGCTAAAGAGAGATCATCAAAATAAACTCAGGAACAAAAATACAAACTCTAAACGAAAGATTAAGAAGGTTGAGGAATTCCATGAAAATCAACTATATGATGAACAACAACGTTTACAGGAAGAGATAGATACTTTGGAGATGGAAAATGAAGTTCTTGAAGAAAAGAGAGAGGAACAAAATGCCAAGATTAAAGATCTAGAGAAAGAAACTAAAAAAGCACAAAGGAGTCTAAATCTTGCTCTTCAAGAAAATAAGCTTCTTGAACAACTCACTCCTTTTACGACCTACACACAAAAAGACTTTGATACCCTCTGAAGGTCTATTGACCAGCATTTTCTCAAAGGTTTCTATGGGTGGGATGGTGATATTAAATATAAAGAAGGAAATACCTCCTTCGAACTTTGACTAAACAGGACCGTGGACTTGGAATTGATTAAAAATGTTAAGAAAAGAATTCCTAACTTTAAAGACTTTTCTATTGACTCCTATCTAGAAGAATACTCTGAATGCATCAACAACTTTGCTAAGAATTACTTCCCGAATAAAGTTCAAACCTTTTCATTTTATCCGGACATTTTTTTTAGTGATAAATCTATCCATCATTACATGGCAGGATTAATAGCAATGGCACCAAGAGTTCAGAAGAAGCTATCAATCACTAAATTTAGAATCGGCCAACGTGACCTAATCGATCTTCTTTCTAATTTCAAGCATGTTGAATGATTTAGATTAAATATGTGTGAAATAAATCTGTCCTCTGTGCCATTCCTCAATTATGCTCTCGAGAATACTCAGATTCAAAAATTGCAACTAATATATGACTTTTACAGGGAGGATGATACCTCTAATTTCAAAATTTTAATTCGAGGCCTCTCCCAAAGCGAAGACTTCAGAGAAAGTCTAGAAGAGATTTCAGTAGAAGCCTTAGAGTTAACTGAAGAAGAGATCTCTTATATTTTAGAGGAAAATGGATTTGAAAATGTCAAAATTGAAGTGCTTGTTTGGTAATTTTGGAAAATATTATTAAGCTTGTTTCAATATCAGTTCTTCTGTTGGGGTTTTGGGGTTTTGGGGTTTTGGGGTTTTGGGGTTTTGGGG